CAACTCAATGAAACATTATCTGCACTCTGCATGGTACACCCATCATGTCAAGCAAAGTCTCTTTCTGTCTCCCTTGTCCCCCATCTTTGTCTCCCTCCACCTACCCCCACCCCTTTGCCCTCTGGCTATCACCACGCTGTTCTCAGTGTCTATGAGTTATGTATGTATATATATATATTTTTTGGCAAATTTCTTCATCTTCTTTCATTCAGTCCCCTCACCTTCCCTCCCCTCTGTGATTTGTCAGTCTGTTCCATGTATCCATGCCTCTGTTTCTATTTTATCAATTTATTTTTTTATTAGATTCCATATATAAGTGAGATCATAAGGTATTTGTCTTTTTCTGGCTGGCTTATTTCACTTAACATAATAATCTCCTGGTCCATCTATGCTGTTGCAAAAGGTTAGATTTTCTCCCTTCCTTCCTTCCTTCCTTCCTTCCTTCCTTCCTTCCTTCCTTCCTTCCTTCCTTCCTTCCTTCCTTCTTTCTTTCTTTTTTCTTTCTCTCTCTTCCCCCCTCTCTCTTTCTCTTTCTTTTTTTTCACAGCTGAGTATGTATTCCACTTTGTAAATGTAGCATAGCTTTTTTATTCATTCATCTACTCATGGGCATTTGGGCTGTTATCAGATCTTGGTTACTGTAAATAATGCTGCTATGAACATATGGGTACATGTATTCTTTTGAGTTAGTATCTTGTGATTCTTAGTGTAACAGGGTGCAGCCAAGAGGGGGGGCCCCAAATAGGGATTTGGAATGGGGTCCAGAACTCAAGGTGTTCAGGAAATATTAGAAAAATATATAAGATATCCTCACCACTTCCTACCACAGGTTTGAGCTGGAGGAAGGGACACATGGAGCAGGACCATGCAGAGCCATTTTGTACAGCAACAGCTGTGGAGCTAACCTCTGGCATGGTTATTTAACATATCTATAACTTCTAACTGGTCGCATAGATATGTTAAATAGCTGTGGCCATGCTCTGAGCCAGGGGGATGGAAGTGACCTCCACCCAGGATGTAACAGAGGTAGCTCCCCCTGGTTACAGCACCTGCATGAGGGCTTGGAGAAGATTGGCTCCATGCCATGGGGCCACACCTGCCCAGACTTATGATGGCAGCCCAGCAAAGCTGGAAGAGTATACAGGAATGCTGGCAGGTGTAACTGATTGTATCAGGAGTTGGAAATGGGGCTGCAGAGGAAGATTGGCTCAGGGATTTAAACCAGATGTGGCAGCCATGTGGCAGGGGAGAACCATGCAGCTTTGGCAGAGGGGGGACCCTGCAGCTTTGGTGAGAGCGAGGACCACGTGGCTTTGGGGTACTCCCTTTTGCCACATGGCTTAGGAAGCAGTAGAGACTTTGAAGGGGGTGAAAGGACTCTTGCTGATAGGCCATGAGAAGGTGCCACATGGCTTTGGATTAACTTGAGATTGTGGCAGCGACACAGCTGATGGTGCTAGGAGCCCAAATCACGGACTTCTACTTCTTTTCCTGAGATATGGTACCCCATACTAGGGCAGAGGCAGAAGAAAGGACTGTGTGTGTCTGTGGGTATCCTAAAGGACTTCAATATTTTTAATGAAGACATTAAGTCAGTACTCTAATTCTGTATAGCTTAAACATTTTCTTTCCTTTTCACAAATCTCTGGCATTGAGAGACAGCTTTCCTCTGGCAGCGGGCATAGTGAACCTAGTGGGGGGTCATTTTGGTAATAGTATATTATAAACCCCCTTGGGTCTGTTCTGTAACATTAGGATATTTATCAAAATGGGTCCCTGTTTTGAGATTTAAGTCTACTTATACTTTAGTGGGGTTATAGAATGCAAAGGAGATTGGTATAAATGGTGGATGATTTAATAGTTTCACCAGAGAAAAGAGACAGCCAGGCCTTGCAGACACCTTCCTTTTGGGAGAAGTCCTGGGAGAGGGGGCCTTGAACATTTCCTCTCCATGATGAACTCTCAAATTTCTTCCCATATTTATGATCTTGCCTGTAGTTTTATTTGACACAAAGCATTAATTAACTTTTATCAGAAATGAAAGGTCATTTTTCCCCAGTGACCTGGTGTGAGAATACCAAGAATTTTTGGAAATTCAGTGAGTCAAAAACCAAGGTCAAAAGTCATAAAGTCCTAGGTGGAGAGACTGCAGCCAAATCCTGAAGTTGGCCAGGGCTTTTTGTACCTTTTACATGAGTGCTTTCATTAAGAATCAGGTTTTATTAAGGGTTACAGGCTGTGAGCAAAAGAGTTTCAAATTCCCCCTCTTCCTAAAATCTGTACATGCTACTCTATCTGAGACCTCAGGCGCACAGGCACCTGTCAACCTCAGAACTCAGTTGCAAGTTATTAAACTGATAATTGAACAGTTGGTTTTTGTTGTTCTCGTCTCTACTGTGCATTCACTGGCCACCACCAGCTTCATCCAGCCTGTCCCCTGTGTACCCAGCCACCTACTGAAACATGACTTATCATCACTCTTAAATAAGAAATCACACAGGTCTTTAACTTGAGATCCACAGAGTTAAAGGGGAACTTTTTGTTGATCACAACTTCCTCATTTTGACATCAAATTTCCCTCATTCAACATTAGGGCTATACCTGAATAAACAGTCCCATTGTCCTTCTTTCTGGGATCCTGCTAAGTTTGTGTTTTGTTGACTCTTTTAAAGTATATCATGTGACTTGTGGTGGTCAATGAAATGTGAGTGGAAGTCATACGTTATATGTAGAATGCACAATTAACAGCTGTGCACAGTCTGTTCCCATTCTTCCAGTATCAGGAAAACATTTCTCTAGAAATGTTCCCAGCAGCCTGGACCCCTCAATGTTTACAATGAGATGAGTACCCCCATCAGCACTGTAATCCATAGTACACACGCAGTATGAGCTACAAACAAACCTCTGTTATGCTAAGTTCTTGATATGTGTGTGTGTCCGCGTATGTGTTGAGGAGGTGTATGTTACAGCAGCCTAACCTGTTCTGTCCTGACTGATGCACTGACATTCAGCTGGTGGTGTCATTCATCATTTGTAAGTACAGAGTTGTTAGGAGACAACCATTTGGTATAGTCTTCATTTTGTATTATAAGATGGGGAAGGAGGGGAGAGTTTTTTCAAGTTCAGAGAAACAGTTATCATAACCACGAAGAGGAATCACTTCCTCATCTTCTCAAACAGCTGTCTATTAGTTCAGTCAAGAGCTGAAATTAGTCCTGTGTGGCTCAGTGGGCTGGGCATTGTTCTGAAAACCAGTAGGTCTCTGGTTTGATTCCCAATCAGGGCATATGAATGGGTTGTGGGCCAGGTCCTAGGTTGGGAGCATGTGAGAGGCAACTGATTGATGTTTCTCTCTCTCTCTTTCTCCTTCCCTTCCCCTCTCTCTGAAAATAAATAAATAAAATCTTTTAAAAAAAGAGCTGAAATTATTTTTTTTAAATTTTGTGATGGCTCCATATATATTTATTCATTAAAAACATGAAAGCTTAAATGTCTACAATGCATTTCTATCCATTTTTCCAACACCTCTCTGAAGGACACACCCATACTGGATATACATATATCCAATCTTCAGTGAAAGCTGGTAAGGGGAGGCACATTCAGTAAACCAGAGAGGATTGACTCAAGTACATCAAGTTCATTTTGTGTGTGTGGGAGGAATTAGGTGCTACGGCATGTTGGTCAGTTTATCATTTCTGTTCCAGTCAGTAATTAACTCTGGAGCCCTGCGAGCCCTGACGCTCTGGTCCTACTTTGCTTCTTTCTTTTCACAGCCTCTCGTTTTTTTGACTTCATGACCGAAACCCTCCCAGAATCCTCCACTCACCATGTCTAATTACTGCTGACATTGATTAGTATTTGATAATGAAAAACTGAGTCATCTTGTGGGCATTTCTTGCCATGTTTTTCTTCAATCTTTCCCGGGTTTAAAATTAATGTGAATAGAGAAAATATTCATTTTCCCTATTGTTTTAAATTGTTAACTTATTTGTGTAGGGGACAGTTCAGAAAACAAAGATGTAAGATTGAACTTTTTTTTGGAGGTGGGGCTACATGAGCTTTAATACTGTGAAAGCATTAAGATTTGGGATTCTGAGCTCAGACTGCCTGGGTCTGAATTCCACTGCAGTGCTTCCTAGCTGGGTGGTGCTGGACAGATTCCTCAGCCTCTCTGGCCCTCCTTTCGTCATCCGTAAAATGAGGTTGTGAGAGTGTATCTTTCACCAGCAACTGTTGTGAACATTAAGTGAGTTAACACATGTGAAGTACTTAGAAGAGTGCTTGGGGACAGCAAGCTGTGTTAGCAGCATAAAAATCCCAGAAAGCAGGTGACTGAGCCCAGCTGTGAGTACAGGCCAGTGGTGGCCGACTGCCTCTGTGGCCTTAGGCAAGTTAATGACCTCTCTATGCTTCAGTTTCCTCGACTGTCAAATGGGGAAAATAATAGTACCTACCTCACAGGAGTTTTGTGAGGCCAAAATGAAAAAATGATGGGACATATAAGGTGCTCAATAAATGTTCTTTTACTTCTACTATCATTATTTTAGAAATTCTTGGTGTTTAAAAAAAGTCTACCACCCCCTCGCCAAACATCTATGCATTGCTCTTCTTTTGGTGACATTTGTCTAACACTTCGAAATACAGAATTTCTGGTGTTTTGTTTTTCTTTGATGGGGTAGTGTCTTAGCTCCAGTGGATGCTGTGTTTGTATGGGCTGTCAGCAGGGAAATGCCAAGGAAGGATTTTTTTCAACCATCTAATGTGGTTTCCCAGAAATTCTAGAAAACACAAGTGTTTTTTAGGGGCAAAATAAATTTGAGGCTTCAGCAGGCCTTCACACCCTTAGAATCTACCTATCAGATGCCAGCATTTTCTCGTGCACCTGAGCCTATGCCAGAGATGGCATGGCGCTGCCAGCCGAGGTGAGAATTGTTAGTTCAGTACATTCATTTTGGTTGAAGGTATATTTTATACAGGAAGTTTAAAAGAATTGCCTTATCTTATATATTTAGACCACAATGACTTGTTTTTGTATCTTATGAATATGTTCAGGTCTGCTTCTTTATTTTACAGTTCTCAAAAGAGCATTACAAGACTATTTTTGTGAAATCTCCACACACTTCGGAATTAGGCAGACATTATTAGGGTTGTTACATTGCACTTCCAAGAAACACATTTGTCTCAGTTCCTGCATGGAAAAGATCTCTCGAAATATCTGTAGGTATGGAAATAAATTCATTGTGAAAACAGCAGCTCCTTTGATCTCTTAAATATTACAAATATAGAATCTAACTTCTTGGGTCAAGGCAAGTACTAATTTTACTCCTCTCCAAATTCTGGCGCTAAGTGTTCTCAGGAAGAATGCTGGCACACAGACACTGAGCAGCCAACACTCTTGGTGGGACCCTTGGCTGCCTTGTTGTCTGCAGCCTTTTCACGTCCCGGAAGTGCTAATCCACTGCCTGTTTGCATGGACAGGGGGTGGCACAGCCATGCGCTGGCCATGGAGATCAGCGTGGAAACCGGGCAGGGCCCCTTTGAACCAATAATGTCTTTTTTGGTTCAGAAGGTTTTGAAACTTTTGACAAATACCAGAATCACTGAGAGTTTGCTGGGTTCTCCATATTTCATTGCCTCTGTCATGGGCCTGGCAGGCTCCATCAGAGAGAAAGAAGTTCTAGGGAAGCTGAGTTCATTCGGATCAGAATAGAACAGGTGTGCTGGGGATTCCAGGGGAAAGAAGAAGCTGGGGAAAAGGTAACTAAGGAGCATAGAGGTGAAATATGAAAAAAAGAAGGACATTTGATTGAGTCATCTGGATCCAGGGCAGGCTCCACGTGACGAGAAGTCCGCTTTGTCTGAACCTGGTAGGTAGTAAGTAATCTTAAAATGGAAGCATAGTGCTTCACAGCTGCAGCTAGCATTTAACTGAACAGTTTAATACTTGGGAAGATGGAAAAATTCTATGTGTAAAGGGAGCCGCAACTCTGCCATGGCATTGGAGGAGTATTCCCCTTTGCTGAGCCCCACACCCACTGAATGCTTGAGATTTGACCACAAGTCCACGCAGGGGACATCTGTGGTCCACACGAAATCAGACCATTTGGCCATGCTGCTTCTGGTAGAGCTGTGAACAAAATAGAACAAATTGTGAGAAGGGCTTAATGTCAAGGTCTCAGTTCCACAGTCTCAGGACCAATAACTGGCTGTCCTGGCCCATGCCCACATCTCCTGCAAGGTGTGCAGTGCCCAGGGAGGCTTCTCCCAGGACAGCGAGGCGGCCTTGCAGCACACACACGGCAGGAATGCACTCAGCCACCTGCCTCCCACCCTGCCCGCTGCCTCCGTGGCCCGCCCACACTCCCACCCTCTCCATACGCCCCTTCTGTCCCCAGGCTCTGTCTTCAAAGTCGCCCCCCTTCCTTTATGCTGGTACCATCAAGGGGGCAAGCTCAATCTCCCCAGCTTTGACTAAGCGATCCTCTACACTGTGACAGGGAGAGGTTGTTTATTTTCCTCAGGAAATATCAGCATCTAGGTGGGAACCGGCTGGCTTCCTGGAAGAATGCTTCTAGAAGGACGGCCTCCTCTCGGAAATGAAACAAACTTTTTATCTAGGTACTTCCTGTTTCCTCAGTTTAAAGGGCCCTCTCCCCTGGTAAAAGGACTTCAAAGGCCCCAGCCTGCCAAGTTTAGGTTTATGAGCTTTTCCAAAAAAGTCTTTATGAGTTTACTGTAATTGGGCATTGAGTTATCCTACAGAATGTTCTTGGGTATGTAAAGAAACTTGAGTACTTATTTCTATTCAGTTAATTTCTGTTAATACTCTTGTGTGTTTCCAATCAGAACATATGTCTTCAATTATGCCTGTGGTCTGGGGCTTCAGAGGAGGACACGTGCCTTGTACAAATGTCACCGTGAGATGAAAGGCACACAGTGGCTACACGGTCATTTCTAAATGAAAATATTCAGATTTATTTATTACAACTGGCAAAGATGTAGACCCATTATACCTTTGCTTGCAAAAATTATGACAATTTATATTTCTTCATGGCAAAGATTCCATTCTGCATGTAGTTGTTCTCCTGGAGAGGCACAAATGATCATGATATGAGAGTGTCAAGATTAGAAAGTCATTTCTTAGGTATGTTGCTTTTTTAAAAAAATACTCCTTTTTATGAAGCTAACAGTTCTTCGAAGGAGGATGTAAAAAGGCTCACTAGCAACCATTTAAACCTCCTAATTAATTAGTCTATTAGGGATTGAAAAGATCTTAAGGAAAGCAGACACAAGGAAGGTTCGCTACATGAAGTTGGGAGAATTGCCACCTCTCAGAGCCTCATTTTCCCTGTGGAAAGTGGGAATGAAAACTGTTCCCCAAAGTGTTTGATGATCAAAGTCCAAAGGAGATGATAAGTGGAAAAGTGTCTTATGGACTCTTATTACTGTGGGGTTAAGGAAAGGAGGCCGCAGGGGAGGACAAGGAAGAGGGGCAGACACGGTGACGTCCCGGAGGGCAGAGCAGCCGGGGTGTTGAGAGAGGTGGAGAAAAAAGTGAGGGGCCCTGCAAAAGGGGGCATACTTCACATCTTGCACGGGGTGGCTCTGGGAGTCAGGTCGGTCGGAGGTGGTGGTGGGGGGTGCCTCCTGGTGAGAACAGTATGGGGGGTTATAAGTCAGAAGAGCTGGCGCTGGCAGCTATAACCTTGCAGCTTCTGGGGATGTTTCTCAAGCTCTCTACCCCCCAGTTTCTGGTCTGTAAGTGGAAGACGATAATAAAGTTACTGTCAGCAGTGATGGGAATAATGGGAGAATTAGTGCTATAAACTGTAAAGGGCTATGTGTACACTACTGCAGAACAGCAAGGCTTCACCAGCTCACTCTGAAGTGAGGCAGCGGCACCGCACTGCTGTGGTCACTGTCATGTTCCTCATCACCGCGTAAACCCAGGACAAAAAAGGCCTGCATCATGTGAGAATGCCCTCGATGAAGCAGTAAAAATTAAGTTGACTAAGTATTAGCCCTTGAGCAAGTGACCTAACCTCTCTCAACCTCACCTTCCTAATCTGTAAAATGGGAGATTATGGTAGTATCTGCCTCAGAAGACTGTGACATCACATCAGAAAGGCATGCAAGTCACGTAGCACAGTCAGTGTCTGCTATGCAAGGTTCACAGCCCCTTATCTATCATCCATGAGCACCTCCGGCCAGGCCTCTGGGAGGTGTAAGGGTCAATGGGCACTTCTGTAATGTAGAGCTTTCCCCCCACGTCCCCTCTCTACGTGTTTAAACGCCTCCAAAACACTACTAGTTCAAGTTTTATGTATGTCTACCTGGGGGTGGGATGTCCGTGAGCCTCTTCTTATTGTGCCTGTGTCTTCAGTATTCATCCCATTCTCTTTGTCAACAACAGTGGCTATGAAAATCCTATCGGCCTAACTCTTCCTTCCTTACTATCACTCCTCATTCTTTATAAACCAAGGCAGGTTTTAGGCCCACATCACATTCACTATGCGTTATGTAGCAGGTCAGATATGCAAAGCCACTTCCATAAGAATCACTTCCGGTCATTTGCCACTCTCCCTGCTGCTGGGGTGCAGAGGGGACAGGAGTGACTGTGGTCACCACAGCTGCAAACCCTCCCGAGGATTCAGTATCCCTGGGGCAGAGTGAGCTGAACCATCTACTGTGTCACAGGTCCTCTCTACCCTTGGCCCAGCTGCTCAATTTTGAGGCAAATTTGGCAGAAAATGGGGTTAGCTGTGAGTGAGGATCAGGTCTTAAACACTGTCTTATAGACCCTTTTCCTTCTCTTTTCTGAGTTCATGTTTACAAAGGAATAAACTAACTAAAATACCTCGTTTCCTCAGTTTGTCATCACAAGGGAACTGGATTTGACAAGTGGATTACTTAGGGAATTGTGTATTGCTCATTCATCCAACACAGATTTCTTGAGAAAATCTGTGTTACAGACAGTTCTTGCTTCTGGAGACCCTGCTGGGAACAGGGTGGACAAGGCCCCTTCTCTGATGGAAGAAAACACACAAGGAAACAAATAAACCAGAAAATAGACTGGAGGCCAAGTGTGCCAGGTAGAGATTTTGGTTAACAGCAACAAACACTGGCTTTGTTTTAACGAAAGGCAAGAGGAGGATTTTCCCTGGGGAGACACGGGGGCATCACAGTATCAAAGGAAAGGCTGAAGAGTCAAGGTTTAGAAGCTCTAAAACCAGAATAACTGAGGATCTGGGAAAATAGAAGTGACTGACAGTGTCCCTGAGAAGCACTCCCACTCAAATCAATCAGCTGCTGCAGGTGGCACCTCCTTCTGGGTCAGGATGACAGAGGGAGGGCTGCTGGTTTGTCAAGCTTCAGTCACATGCATGGTCACCTCTTGGCTGGGGGAAAGCAGGCTGTCTGGATTGACAGTCCCTTTAAGCTTCTCTCTAGCAGACAGAGTGGGAACTCCCCTAAGCAAATTTGGGGTGCTATTAGAAAAATAGGAAAAACAGAGACTTAGGAGACAAAAAGAACAAATGTCCCTGGTTTTAAAAGCAACTGACATAGGAGAGGGCTAGGGGTTTGGGTTTCTGCAGGTGGTGTGGGTCAGGGAGACCCATCCAGATTCTAAGGCAGCCACGGCCCCACAGTTCCCTACAGTGGTCGGGACAGGACTGATGGTTGATGTTTACTGTGTTTTTCTGTATACAATGCATACTTTTCCCCAAATTTTTGAGGGAGAATTAAGGATGTGCATTATACATGGGTAGTGCTAATTCTGTATCTATATAAATGTTTTTAATTCTTTTATTGATGCTAATGCATTAAAAGTGTAACTCTAGAAAGCAATAACAATATTCATATGCAAAATAGCACCCTGGAATATAATAGGTTTTGTTTCTAAATATAAATACATAAGAAATTGAAATGAAAGATTTTTTTCCTAAAAGTTTGGGCCAAAAGTGTGGGCATGCATTACATGTGGAAGCACATTAGACACAGCAAAATATAATAGTTATCTTGAGAAGGACACTGACGACTTCAAACTTCTCAAGAGCGACCAGGACGGTGGAGGGTCTAGAAAGCCTGACCTACGAATAGTTACAGCAGCGGCTGTGAACAATCCAGAGCCTCTAAAAGAGGTGCGACTTGTCTCACTGTTATGCTGTCTTCAAAATGAGCTGAATAGCATATTTTATTCCCTTTTTAAACATAATGTATTATACTCTTAGTCTACCAAAGGAAAGCTTTAGAATCGATATCTCAAACTTCAATAATTTGCTATTTTTGCATTTTTATTTATGCCCCTGTAAAATGAATTTGAGCCAAATAAGTTTTGAGGTCTCTCCCTCTTTTTTAAAGATTTCATTTATTTATTTTCAGAGAGAGGGGAAGGGAGGGGAAAATAGAGCGAGAGAAACACTGATGTGTGAGAGATACATGGATTGGTTGACTCTTGCATGCCCCAACTGGGGACCTGGCCCGCAACCCAGGCATGTGCCCTGACCGGGAATTGAACCCATGACCTTTTGGTTCACACCAGCACTCAATCTACTGAGCTACATCAGCTGGGGCTGAAGTCTCTTAATTTTTAAAATTCTATGTTCTGTAAATCTCATCATATTTACCAATCTCTTATGAGATAGTTTGTTGTGTTAAAACAAACAAACAAAAAAACCACACCAGACCCCAAATGGAGATACTCGTCCTAAACCCCACCAAGACTTACTACCTGATCTAATTTTCCTAGGAGTGGAATTTTAAGCCAATCAGTCTGGAGCTTCCAGGTCTGACTAGAGAAGAAACCTGCCTGATAAAACCCCCTTCCCTCACCTAAGGGAGGGTGACCTTGCCTGAAATAATCTACACTTTCACCTTGCTGGTTTTTCCCTGTTTCTTTCTGCCCAGAAAAGCTTTCCATTTTGTTTTTTCTTAATATCGTTTTGTGTATTCATTTTAGGGAGAGCAAGGAAAGGAGAGAGCGCGTGAAAGAGAGAGAGACATCAATTTGTTTTCCCACTTACTGTGCCTATGTCTTCAGTCAGTATTCACCTAATTTGTTCATTGGTTGATTCTTGTATGTGTCCTGATAGGGGATCGAACCCAGAACCTTGGCATGTTGAGATGATGCTCTAACCAACTGAGCTGCCTGGCCAGGCCAAACAAAATCTTTCATCTTGTACAGACCTTCAGAACACCTTTCAATTTACTGGATGGGATGCTGCCTGATTCATGAATCCTTCATCTAGATCTTTAAATTTACTTGGCTGAATTTTTGATGCTTTGATAGTTGTAAATAATATTATTACTAACATGGTATCTTTTTGCCAAAATCTATTGTATTTTTTTTCCTAAGAGTGTTAATTGCATAATCTTCCTTTACTTTTTATTTTTATTTTTAACATTAGTTCATTGTTGTTCAATTACAGTTGTCTGCATTTTCTCCCTCCCCCTCCCCCCACCCGTTCCAAACCCACCGCCTTCCCTTGCTTCCACCCCCCCCCTTGGTTTTGTTCATGTGTCCGTTACAATGGTTCCTGAAAACACTTCTCCCCATTGTCCCTTCCCCATCCCCTCTGGCTATTGTTAGATTGTTCTTAATTTCAAAATCTTCCTTTAGTAGAGAAGAGTCAGATAAAAATTCTTCCATTTTAAAGATTAGGAAACAAGAAACATAATGGTTCACAGAGAAGGGGAAAATACATTCCATTTCACCTAGTCACACTGAAGTGCACTATTTTGGTCTGTTTTGTAATAAGTATATATCAGACACTATTAGATATCAAGCTCGATGGGATTATTGTCAAACAGATAATTTTATATTTATCCAAATGTTATTTATGGCATTAGGTCTGTTTGGTCATTTCCTTGTGCCAAGTTTTTAAAAATAGTTATGATAAAAGGTGAGCATAAGAACTCAACAATGAAAATGAAGATTTTTATTTCCATACTAAGAGGCAATTACAATTTGCAATTTAATTAGGAAAACACAATGAAAGAAATCAAGAGTGTCTATTCTCCTGCTGAAGGAGACCCTCATGTGAAATGCAGTTGTGGCTAATTCACTAGTCTGTGGGCTGGAACCAGTGCCTTGCTCAGGGCCAGACAATGTTCTCCTCGGGGGCCAGAGATCAAAGATCTTTCATGAAACAAATGCTAAGAATCACATAACTTGGAATATGCCCATCTACTGCCATATTTCACAGCATGTAATGTATTCCCCTATATTTTTTCCTGACATTTGATATGCAATGGCTTAGATGTATCACATGCTTGGGCTTATCAATAAATTATTGGTATATGGACACTGAGCTGAATCCAAGGCAAAGCTGCCTGATCTCTGCAAACAAGCTGAGTAAGTTCCCAAGGCGCTAGGCCACTTTGTAGAGGTAGAGGCAGGGCAGTAGGTCTAACCCCTGACCCAGGGATAAGAAGAAAGGCCCAGCTTGCCAGCCATGTGTTCAGAACAGCATGACCAAGGAGAAGGATGCAAGGAGAAAAGTCACATGTTGAGTGCTGGTCTCCTAGATCTGGCTCTGTCAGTGAAAGCTGTGTGACTTTTAAGTAAGATTTCTACTTCTCTGAGCCTTCCTTATTTCTCCTGTAAGAGAAACAAAGTAGTCACATGTAAAAAAAAAAGGAAGAAGAGAGAAAGAAAAGGTACTAGGCAATGGGAAGATATATGAAGGCACAGCACAAAGTCAGCTTTCTTCTTTTAGAGCAAACTGCATGCAGGTAAAGGGAACTTCTTTCCCATCCCATCAGCTGACCAAACAGGTGTGCCATGCAGACCTCACCCTGGTTGTTCCTTGGTCTTCATTTCTGTCTCCCCAGCAGGCACTACACCAGTGACAGTGGGCTGTCAAGGCATTTATGTCCATTCCAATTCTCCAGTGAGTGTACCTGCCAGGTGCTGGTCTAGGGGCTGCAGATACTGTCATGGACCAGAAAACCCACACAAATCCTGCTCCCATGGACCGTCTAGTCAGGGCACACCCACCAAAGCAGGCAAATCAATATATAATACTTACATCAGCCACTGGTGAGAAGATCTTTGAGGAAAACAGCTGGTTGAATGGTCAGGTCCCACTGGACATGGCCGCCATTTTAGCTGGGTGGGGCTTCCCTGATAAGGTGGCATCCAGCAGAGTCTGAATGAAAGGAAGGCAGGTGTCCCCACAGTCCCTTGGTAAGAGCAGAGAAAGGATAGTTAGGGCAAAGGTCATGAGGGTAGGGTAAGCTCCAGGTGTTCAAGGAACATGAAGACCGATGTGGCTGGGGTGATGAGGGAGAGGAGACTGGGCAGCGCTGGTGATTTCTGTTCTGACAGAAGGAGAACCATGGGGAGTGGTTACCTCTTAGCCTCCAGAGCCTGGAAAGCATGCAGATGACAGCACAGTCTGGACTTAGAGGTACCTAGGCTGTTAGTGCTGGCTGGACTCGGAGAGAAAAGCAGTGCTCTGGGCAGGTGTGTGACCCGTGCAGGCCCACAGCTCCCATGCTCAGAAGTGGGGCCCCATTTGGCTTTAAGGCTTTGTGGCAGCCACACTGAAATTCTGAACAATTTTATTTTTGCATTTGTGGTAAGTAAAATTCAGTGGGTTTGTGGAGTCTGTGCCAGGGGCTTGGAACCTGGGTTCAGACCCAGCCCTTTCTCCTGCTGTCCTTACACTGGATTTTGGGTCACCAGCTCCCGCTCCTGCCTAGGACCACTGCTGGCCTCACCTGGGGTGGCCTGGGCCTGGGGGCAGGAGGGCCAGTGGAGGCCTGGCCATGCCCCCTGCACACCCAAGAACAGGGTGGGTCCCTGACGGTCTGTACCCACCCTGCCAGTATCCTTGTGCTTGAGGGAACTGACATTAAATAGCAAATAAAACAACATAGGTCAAGGGAGATGGCAGAAGAAAGGGAAGATTTTTCTTGCTTCTTGATCAATGGACCCATATTTTGATTTTGCAGTGGCCCCTGGCGCTTCTTGTGGCCGGGGATGGAGTGTCGACCGCTAGGCTGCAGCTTCTGCTGCGGAGCCTCAGTTAAACCTCTGGGCGCTTCCTGTGGGTGCTGCTGCCCTCTGCTGGGGAGCGTGGGCTTCAGCTCTGCATTGAGGCTCACACGGAAAATGCTCCCAAATAGAGTATCAATACCCAACAACAGTCAATGGTTTCATCCTTGATGTTGTTGCAGGTTTGAATAGCAAATTCCACCGTGAACTGCATTGTACACATTGAACTGTTTTGTTGCAAAACAAAACCTTAGTATCCAGATGTAAGGCATACATTTTGAACAGCTGGTGATACTGGTTGATTTGTCATCATATAATATTGCTTACCATATATGAAATATGCTTTATAATTAAAAAATTATTTGAGTTAATGGTAACTTTGTCCAGGATTTAAAGAATGCAATTAGTTTTCAAGTGCCATGTGCCTGGCGATTTTTCCTTTCATCGGACATAGGGAGAACAGCCTAGGTAACATTTCTTTAGTGACTGTAAGACACTGAGAGTTTAATATTTAACCATTTAACCACTGTCTCTGAGAGAGCTTCTTTTTGGCAAGGAAGGTACCAAAACCATAGGGAAAAAAGCTATTAAAATTGGTGGACTTTGCCCTGATTAGTGTGGCTCAGTGGACTGAGCACGAGCTGCGAACCAAAGGGTCACCAGTTCGATTTCCAGTCAGGGAACATGCCTGGGCTGCAGGCCAGGTCCCCAGTAGGGCGTGCGCAAGAGACTACCAAACACTGACGTTTTTCTCCCTCTCTTCCTCTCTCCTTCCCCTCTCTCTAAAAATAAATTAATAAAATCTTTAAAAATAAAAATAATACAAGTTTAAAAAAGAATCGGTGGACTTCTGTTTGTCTTTACCTATTCTGCCCATGTAAGCTGAGCTCCCTCGTGTATAAAGATGGTGGTGTGCTTATCCCAGTGGAAGTTCCTGTCTAGACTTGGCTGTGTGCTAAGCACAGGGGCAGGTACGTCATCTTCCTTGTCTCACTTAAATTTCATAACAGCTTTGCAAGAGAGAGAATATATTTGCCCCAGGAAACTGGGCAGCAATGAAGTTAAAGAGCTTTCCTGAGGTTGGTCTAGTTAAGTGGTAGTTTGCACTCCATGCCAGACCTGCCTCAACTCCAAAGCCCTATGTCCTGGCACTAAACTGTGTGGCCGGTCGCCTGAGTACCGAACCGACTGTGATCCTGGTTACTGCTGTAGAGAACGAAAGTTGTAAAGGCTTAACAGGTTTTGCAATGCAGTGACACGTTACAATTTACAGATGTCAAAATTGCAGCCCCAAGGACTGAAGTAACCTGCCCTAAGCTGAGTATGAAAGGGCAGAACTGCATGCAGGCCCCTGGTCTCCTTACCCCCAGCTCAGGGCTCTTTCCCATAGATCACACTCACAGAATAAATCCATTTTGGACACTGAAGATAACATTTTTTGTTCCCTCTTTCCTATCTCCTATATGGTGTTTGGGCCCTTTAATAACTACCTAGAGAACTTGATGTAAAAAATAAATGACCGGGTACAATAGTTTAAATGAATTACATACTGAGAAAGGAAAGAGAAAGGAAGCTGACCATGTAGGCTGCTCACTGTCACTTTCTTATCACCCAGGGCAAACTTCCAATCAGTTGTTCAATCAGCCAACAGTCATTGAGCATCTTCTGTAAGCCAGGTACCAAGAGAGGGGCTAGACATTCAGAAATAAGTAACTGCCGACAGGGGACTCACAGGCGCACAGAACGAACAAACAGGTCAACAAAAGTACCTTGCAGTGCGAGTCCTATGAGCACACTGTTGTGGGTCTGCAGAAAGAAGAGCAGCAAATTCCACGTGGGACAGCCCAGGGAGGCCCCACTGAGGGACCACGGGGGCCTGCAGCGCGGAGTGCCATTCACACTGTTTCCCAGTCCTTCTCAGGAGGAGATACGCACCCTGATATTCCAACCTGTGCACACAAGAGAGTCCTAAGATAGTCTAGAAACCAGAAAGAGTAAAATTCTTTGGAAGCAATTAAATCATTTGGGATAATAAAGAACAGAGATGTGGATTACTAGAAGATTGCAGTGAATTTAAATTCTCTAGAGGTATTGAGCAGCAAATAAAAGCCTTATTTTAGCTTGGTTAAACACAAAGTAATTGGAATAGTTAAATTAGTATGCTAATGTAATCAAAAATTTAAAGCAAAAACAAACGTTAGCTAAAAGAGGGATAATAATGTATGACCTTAAACAAATTCCAACTGAAACATTTTTCCACTTACAAACAGAATTGACTTTAGGGTCCCAGACATATTACACTGAGCTCAGGGAAAAAATTAATACCTGGGGTTGATTAACATTCCTCTGTTATTCCTGACAGATTATAGAATTACATATTTTTTAAGTTTTAGAAAAACAGAAAATGGAATTGATTATTTATTTAACCTCAGAATTGGGAAAGACTGTTTAAGTTTAAAAGTAGTACAAGATTAAAAGAGGAAAAATATTACAAATTTAACTAAAGATAAGAGTTTCCTTATGTAAAATGAAGACACACACCATCAACATATAAAACAAGCTCTAGTACAGGGGGAATAGTTATAGCAAATAAGCTAATAATTATATAGAACTAATTATACTTATGTATAAAATTATATAACTTAATTATCAGAAAAACTGATTAAAAATTCTCTAACATGCTGATAAAGAGATGTGTTAGTCAGATATCACTACAATAATAATATCACATAACTAATCGCCTAAAAGTCAGTGGTTTCCAACAGCAGCATTTATTCTCACACATCAATGGTATTTATGGTCAACTTGGACTTGACTGACTTAGGTAGACCTGGGCTGGGTGATTGCTTCAGGTTGCCAGGTCACTGGGCTGGGCTCCAGGACTGGGTTTGGGTACAGGTCTATTCCGGGTGTACCTTGGCACTCTACGATCAGTGATCACCTGGGGCTGGTTCTCAGGGTGATGGAAAAGTTGAAGAGCTAAGCCAGTCTGAGCAAACACAGTTGAAGCCTTTTACGTATGTTGTGTCTGTTAACATTCTGTTGGCCAAACCATGTCACATGGTCAAGCCAACATCACTGGGGCAAGGAATGGTCTTCCACTCACAGTGGGAGAGAAAGTGGAATTAATCTCAGTGATTACAATGGGAAAAGGGAATTAACTGGCCACCCACAAAGTTGGAAAACCCCAAGTAATAGACATATTGAAAGATGACCAACCTCTTTAGTAATGTAATAAGTGGAAATTAAAAATGAATTGAGGTAGCACTTATTACTAATAACAAGGAAAGTGTTAAAGAAATTAGATGACTCAATAGTAAAAATTCTTCCCAAGCAGAACAACATGAGATGCTGATGGCTTTACATATGAGTTCAACTAGATTTTCTACAAACAGATCATTTCATCTTCTGTAAATTCTTCCAGAAGGCTGAAAGAGTGTGAATATTTCTCATGCACTCTGTGACATCAAAACAAGAAAAGCACTGGTATAAATTACAGTTCAATCTCACTCTTAAGCATACCTGTAAAAACCCAAAATAAATATTACTAAATAGAATCTAACAGTGTATAAAAAAGATAGCGTAATAGATACCCCAGACAGCATGGCTTCAATAAAAGAGACATTGTTAGTTTGGCTCTCCCGGCAGAATGGACAGCTCTGCTTTAACAAATTATGGAGAGACCTAGGTTCCTTCTTCCTCATCCTGAGGTCATTCCCTAGAGTGCCGTGCTCACTGAGCAATCAAGGCTGGCAACTCCCACGTCAGTGTTGTGATCAGCGTGAGGAAAAGTCCAGGGAAAGCATGTTTAATTGGGAGCTGCTGAGATGCCGCACCATCACTCCCGGGAGCTGTGTGCCCAGGAAGAGGAGGATGGAATTTTTACAGATAATCAGGAACCTGCCACATGGAATAACTCTGATGAAAGATGTTCGAGATCTACATACAGAATATCATCAGGTTATTGGAAGACATTAAAAAAACACCCAAGAAAATGGAATGATACTCATGTTTTCTGAGAGCGCTACTCAATGTCGACTCAATCAAGTTGTTTATTCTCTGCAAATTCCAAATAAAAACCAAAAAAAATTTTTATTGAAATTGGCAGGTTGTTTTTAAAATGTACATGGAAGAGAAAAAGGTAAAAAACTGTCAAAAAAAACATAAGGCAGATGGACTTGCTCTGCCTGATATAATGACCTATCATGAATGTGTTTTTATGCACGGGATATTGGCACAGGGTCATGTGGGGGCGACCTCTCCGAGAGTGCCCCCCGGAGCCACGGACGCGCATGAATGAGTAAGAATAGGGCCGAGAGAAGATGAGATCTGCTTGGGGAGGAAGGAGGAGTGGCTGTGGCCAGTTTCTCAGGGGAGAAAAAGGCCAGCAGTGCCTTTCTCCATAGCCTTTTATTGGGTTGTAATACACAGGCATACAGGGCGGCAAGGATCAAACAGTAGATAACAAAGATATCTGAGGGCTTACTATGAGTCAGTGTCTGTCAGGAAGAGAGTTGCAGAAACTTTGGGAGACATACTCATTTCCTCTTGAACTTTTATCATATGGATGAAAGCACTCTTAGCAGAACAGATTTCACAGGTTTATCAGCAAGTCTTTGTGGTGCCAGGACGCGCTCTAGCAAGGCAAGGAGCTGCACCCCTCCCCATCAGGTATTCAGGCTTAAGGGGATTAGAACCAGGTTAGCGCTTCCCCAGAGGACATGGAGACTCGGGCTTTGTTAAAGCTGTGGGGTGAGAGTCCATTGCTGTTTGTTGCAGCACACACCCCCCCCTGCCCCCACCGCCCCGAATCCTTCCATGAAGGCCTCTCAAGTGATAGAGTCTGGCTTAGGTTGCCCCCCACTGTGAGGGGTCTTACCCGTCATTGACTTCTGACCAAGCTCTGGGGGCAGGGAGAGGAACTGAGGCAGCGTTTGCTACCAGAGACAGGCTTTGTCTCCTGTGGCTGGCATTCCAAAGGTTGTCTCTCACCCTTAGCCACAAGGGGTAGAGATACAATTCCTAAAACTAGGCAGAGCGGTTTACTACAGGGTAAGACAAATTGACTAGTAGAACAAAAACATTCAGAAAGAAGCCCACATCCTTAGGAAATTTTGATATATGACAGAAGTGGCATTGCAGATAATTGGGTGAAGAAGGAAATATTTAATATATGGTTCTGGAACAGCTGAATATTCACATGAATAAAATTGAAATAGGATTCCCATTTCCTACAAAACACAAAAATCAATTCCAGTTGATCAAGTATGTAAAATGTAAAAGGCAGAACTTTAATACTTTTAGAACCAAATATAAGAGAATATCTTTCTGACCTTGGAATTTCCCTTTTCTAAAAAGACTTTATTTATTTTTAGAGATATAGGGAGGGAGGCAGAAAGAGAGGGAGAGAAGCATCTATGTGAGAGACAAACATTGATCAGTTGCCTCTTGCATGAGTACCAACAGGGGACCAAATCCGCAAATCAGGCATGTGCTTTGACTGGGAATCGAACCAGCGACCTTTTGCTTTGCAGGATGATGCCCAACCAACTAAGCCACACCAGCCAGAGCTAACCTTGGAATTTCTTGAACAAGACACAGAAATTCATGAAAGAAAAAGTTGATCGATTTGACTACTTTAAATTTAAGACTTCTTCAAAAATTACCATAAAGCAAGAAAATTGAAACCTTCATTGAGAGACTATATTTGTAATATACATAATCAACAAATGCTTAGTACTCAGAATATGGAACAAGCTTCTACAAATCTATGAGAGATGACTAAATGCAATTGAAAATGGGCAAAAGATGTGAAGTGGTATTTTGCAGACAGTGGAAGAGATGCTTCGTTTCATTAGTAATCTGGGAAATACTAAGTGGGACCACAATTATATATTACTTTATAGCCACCAGCTTTCCAACAATGAAAAGTCTGACCCTATGGAGCACTGGAGAGATGAGGCTGAATGGGACACCTTGTGTATTGCTGCAGGAGATGTGCAGTGATACAGCTAATGTTTCCACTGGTGCATTGGAAAAGTGTTTGTCGCTTATCGTGAATGCTTTTTGATACACAAAGTGATTTTTATGAGATGTTCACATAGATTCATAATAACAAAAGCTGAAAACAATCCAACAGGAAAAGGATGGAATATTATAGAGCAATAAAAACAGATGAACTTCAGTTATGTGCCTAGTGTAGATGAATCTTAGAAACGTAATGTTGAGTGAAAAGCAAGTTGTGGAACTCTGTTACATATTATTGTTATAAAGCTAAAACCCAAACACACTAACACAGTATTGTTACATATGTGATAGCATCATTTTACAAAAAAGACAGGAGAATGACTGACGTACAACTCAGGAACCAGGTTGCCGTGGGAGCGGCTTGAGGAGGGCGGGGGCAGGGCAGAGGAGTGGCTAATCATTGGACACACTTTACCAGCTGGGTTATGGGTTTAGGTCTTTTATTTTACTTAATAACACATGGGTTACAAACATACTTTCGTGTTTTCAGTGTTACCTGTAAAAATATGATAAAGAAGGAGAGAAATTGGATATTGTTTCTGTGCATCAAATATGCAAAGCATTTAAAAACTAAGAGAAAGAAGAAAGAGCTTTTCTTGTGTGTGAATGATAGGAGCGTAAACTGGTGCAGCCTTTTTAGCTGCAGATCCTGGGGGACTCTCATTCTCTGAAAAAAACTCCTTGCAAAATCTTTCGTGATTAGGTTTCAGACACTATAGCATAAAGTAACAATTAGGGAATTTGAGACGTTAGGAAAACTGGTCTGAATATAACAGATATCCTGAGAAGGGCTGTTTAATATGCTATAGATTATGTTAAAATTGATGTTTACATTTTTCAATTGGCTTTGCCATAAGAACTGAAGTTTATTTCATCATAAGCATATAAAACAAGCAAAGGGAAGCAAAGAACCTGCCTTCCGATATATACATTTTAATTATAGCCCTAAATTAATGTCACATTCTCAAAAGACTCATAACGCATTAGAAACTCAAAAAGTGGTAACGGGACTGCAGCCGTGCCAAACAGAATTACCTGGGGAAGCTGTCTTAGGTCTAGGGACAGAAATTATGATTTTTGCACTATTTATACCATTTGAGCAGCCTCAGACTGGAGGGAAAAAGTGGACTTTCAGGGAAAATACAAAAGTCGAGGAAAAACTCAGCCTACCCAGTTTGCACCAGGATCGTTTAGGACATTAACTATAGTATTCTGAACTGTAACCAAATTTTAGAGGGGAAAAAGGCCTTTAAACTCTCGGACACTAAATCCCAGGGTAAATCCCAGGCAGGTTCCAAAAGCACAGCCCACCGTGTAATCTACACAGGCTGGGGTGGGTGGAGCTAGTGTCGATAGTATCTATTAACAGCAGCGGTGGTCAGTGACCCCTGCTACTCGAGAGAAAGATGGACGGACAGTGAAGTTCCAGCCCCAGGCCACATGGCCCCAGGACTGAGAAGTCTGCCTCTAGGTCTCTTCCAGCTCCGCTTTCCCTGCTCTGCTGAAAGGTGCTCCATCCACTCTCGCGGCTGCCAGGCTGGTGCGCGCAGGGCGGCAGTGGAAGCAGCATTTGGGAGGCCCAGAGCCTCTAGAGTGGGACCAGTACCTACAGAAAGCACGTCCTCAGGCTTTGTGTGGTCCGCAGCCTAGGAGCCAGGGGGCGTGTTCCGAATGGGGAGGTGTGGCTCCCTGATGCTGGGTGGGGAACTGTCTGCACGCTCCACTCAAGCCTTGCACAGGACAAGGACAAGAAGCCTAGCCAGACAGATTTGTTTTCTGAGGAGCTGCTTGTTACACTGTCTTAGATGGCAGCTCCCTTATTTTACATTCCTACCAACGGGGTGGGAGGGTTCCAGTTTTTCCCCATCCTTGCCCCTGATTATATTTTATGTAACAAAGCATACCACTGAGACGTATCTGCTTCCATTTAAAGAATACCATCACAGCTGCTTTATTCTTTTCTCTCTCTTTCTCTCAAGCATTTCTTTTAATTTTTTTCTTACCTAAACCCCAGGACTCATAACTTTGGTTTTGGGGATGGGGTGCAGAGAGCAGCCAGGCCTTCAGGCATAAGCCTTAATGTTCACGATCATCATGAATTATACCAGCATGGCATTTTGTAGCTTATAAAATCATTTTATATCCATTATCTTTTTGATTTCTGTCCTATAAGTAAGGTAGGCAATGCATGAAATGGGGCTCATGGCCCGTAAGTTACCTGCTTAGGCTATTCAGCGAATGTGAGGCTGGAAACATCTGATTTGGGACACATCCCCAGCTTTTCCCGTCACATCGGAGACTTCTTCTGTCCACTTCCTCGGCTGGCACACACCAGTGCAATTCTTCTTCCAGATATATGGGGGGACTGGGTATTCTAGGATAGAAATAACTCTCAGTTCAAATGCTTGGAACTTCTGTAAAATACACAATTACGAGTATACTTTAAAGTACAAGTACTGGACACAGCTGTGGACCTCTGCAATTACCGCCTGGTCTCACTCGGTGCTCCAGCTGCTGCTGAGGCAAATCTCGCACCAGCTTCCCCTTAGGCTCAGCAGACAGCACCTCTCCAGGACCCTGCCCTGCGTATCTAGTTTTCCTCCCTGAGGAAGCAGCTGACACCATGGCCTGTGGTACCATTAGGAACCTCTCATGTCTCACACATGCACACTCTGGAAAACTAGGTGAGTTAATGTCATGGGACTACCTGTGACCAATAGGAAGGGGAAGCCAGTGAATAAAGGAACTCTCCCTTTTGCCTCCCAGGAGGACATTTCTGAGCTGAGTTCCATAGACGAACGAACAGCATTCACTCTTAGCAGTACCAACTCAGTGATGCATCAATTCTTAATTTTTCCTCCTCTCACATTCTACAACTCCCCTCTGTATAACTGCTTCTTGAGGTCACTCACCCAACAATCTACTTGAACACAAGGTTTTTAAAATTTGTTTGTTTTTTTTTTTTCCTCCCAGGCTTTGCTTCCAGGGGCTTCGTGCTGAGACAGTTCTAGAAGTGAGTACATTCTCAGGGTAGGATGTTGGCCAATCACTTTTTAGTCTGACCAGTGAGGACTTCATTGCTGGCAGAAGCAGAGAATGATACTCCTGAACTGCAGCAGCATCCAAATCCCTAGGCTTCTCACATGCATTGAGATAGCTGGTAAGTTTTAGTTAGCACTTAATAGTTTGGGACAAACAAAATTATATGGACTGTGGAAGAGCTACATGGGAGACTGAAGGCACAGCCTTGATTTATTTCCCAAGCCAAAGTCAGGGCCCTGATACAAACCAAATAGGTTCTCGAGAGCCAGGATAGAAATGATTGGATTAACGAGATTAAGCATTTTGAGCCCCAGACTTCCTTGAACCATCTGGACTGGTAGAGGCGGCCCCCTCCGTCTTGCTAGAGGACCAAGACTTTGCTGCCTTGATTGTAAAAATGTTACCTAAGGCAAGTAACTACCTCATAATATTATGCTGTACTCCTCAAAATCTGTCCACATCATCCCTCCAATGCCAGCAGGCTGGTATTCAAAGTCTGCTTTTGCTCAGCCTGAGCAGAAAGTTGGCACACATGTGTGTGCACACACATTTATTTGGTAGTTTTTCAGTGGTGCCAGTGTGATCAATGGCTGGAGAACACTGGTCCAGGAACCACATGGCAGAAAGTGGAGCGGACTCTCTTACCAACACTCCCAGTGACCCATTCAACATTTGTGCTTCCTGGAAACCCTTGAACTCTGCTGGATTGAAGGCCTTGATTTACTGTAATTGTTCCGTTCAACTTGAAGCTACCACTATAGTCTGGTCACGTTGAGCTTCCTCGTGATGCTAGACCAGCAGGGAAGGAAAGGAGTCACTTTTGTAATAGAAGGTATTGATCCTGGTTATTACAAGGATCTAGACTTATTGTTGCACCATGGGGCAACAAAGCATCTGCCTGGAATGCAGGGGGTTCACTGGGCATCTTGGGGAGCTTCAAAGCCCAGCAATAACAACAAACAGGCAGTTGTAGCAGTTATGGTGCAACAAAGACAAGGCAACTCAGGGTCAGGCCACTTGGGGAGAAAGATCAGGGTTACCTTATGCTGCAAGCAATCTGGCTTGGTCAAAGTCCCAGCAGAGGTAAAGAACATCTGGAATGGTAAGTAAAGGAAGAAGATATTGCTGTTCAACAACTTTCTAGGAAACAGGTGTAACAGGAGAGACTGCAGCTTATTCCAGTAACCCACCTGTAGCAAGACTTCATGGAGATTTCTGCTGGCCACAGCCACAAAGGGAACTCAGTAATGGATTGGAACTAATGAAAAGCATTAGAAAGATGAGTGATACAAACAGACATACTCAGATGAAGTTTATAAAATGTAGAAAGACAGAGCCTAAGTCCTCTGGAACATCATCTAACTCTATGAGCTATTTAAAAAATCAAGTATTCATATATATTACAAATGATGGCCACAAAATATCTAGTTAGGCACCTTGGGACCTCACTCAGTTTTCCCAATTGCTGTCAGTGGCCTCATTGTATTTTTTGGAGTCTTGTCAATGGTCTGAAATCTTTTCCCTTTCAAAGGTTATTTTAGTTTTGGGAAAAGCTAGAAGTCAGAGGGCACCAAATCTGGGCTGTAGGGGGGCTGAGTCACTTGGGTGATTTGAAGTTTCACCAAAAAACTCTGCGTGAGACGTGTGTGTGAGCAGGTGCATTGTGATGAACCTGCCGATCACCTGTTGGCCATAGCTGCAGCCTTCTGAATCATCCAAATAGTTCCCATGGAGGAATGTTCAAGCTTAACATAAAATCTGAGGCAGATTTGTTGCTCTACTCAGTCATTTTTAATGCAATGGCCACACAGTACACATGCTCACTCAATGGCATCTCCCGCCCTCACTGACTGGTACAGCAAACTTGTCATTGTTCGCACATGCGCATTCCAGTCCACTCTCCTTGGCTGTCAGGTTACATCCCTGTCTCACAAACCATTCTTGTTATTTAACAATGGCTGGACTTTTTCTGGGCAGGCGTCCTATAAGCAGCAGCAGACTGGATGCACAGGGAAATAGACAGATCCAACATTGCTCTGGGGGATTTTAACACTCCTCTCTCAGTAATTGGTAGCTCAGGGAGACACATATTAGAAAAGATATATAATATTTGGACCAGAAAATTAAAACTCTTGATCTAATAAACACACATAGAACCCAATGCTTACAAATGAGAAGCCACACCAGTAGAGTCCCCTCAGGAACACTGGGGCCTCTGTGAAGAAAGAGGCCACCGAGCGTCTGTACCAACTTCAACGTCTGAGTCAGACAGGCCACGCTTTCTTGCCACACTGCCAGTAAATTAGAAATGGAGAGTAAAAACGTATCTCCAAAAGCTCATGCATTTAGAAGTTAAAAACACAATTGTAAATAACTCATGGGTCAAAAAGTAATTGTAAAGGAAATGTATAATTCAATGATATTGAAAGCACCACATAAAAATGTATGGGAAATTTATTTGAAAAAAGAAAGATGGGAAATTAATGAGCTAAGCTTTCAACTTGAGAATCACTTGGGTGATTCTTGAGAAGTTTGAAACAGTGCAATAGAATAAACCCAAGCAACACAGAAGAGAGGAAATAATAATAATTAGAGCAGGAATTAGTAAAATTGTAAATAAAGTACAGTAGGCTCAACAACATCAAAAGATTAAAAAAAGACAAAATAGAGGCAAACCTTAGGAAGAATGACTTAAGAAAAAAATATTAATTAAAAAATGGCATACCTAAACATCATTAGGAACAATATGAATGTAACTACAGAAGTAGCAAGTATTTAGAATTAATTAATAAGAAAATACTATAGCCCTGGCCAGGTAGTTCAGTTGGTTACAGTGCCGTCCTGATATGCCAAGGTTCGATCCCCAGTCAGGGCCCATATAATAATCAACCCATGAATGCATATATAAGTAGAACAACAAATTGATGTTTCTCTCTCCCTCTCCTCCTCTGCTTCCCTCTCCCTTCCTCTCTCTTTCTTCAATCAATGAATCAACCAGTAAATGGATAAGGAAGATACTATACCTGACTTTATACCAGTTGTGGAGGCTCCAGAGACAGGTGGTCCAGACTCCCCTCCAAGGAGGGACTTGTTGCCTCAGCTGGGAGAGTACTGTGAGCCTCACCTGTAGAAAGCCCCCTCCCCCGAGAGTCTACCTTCCCCAGTTCACATCCAGTGCCTGGTGTGGGTGAGGACATAATGCTCTAGCCATTTCGCCCACCTTGGAACAGCTCTGAGCATGTCATATATGCAGAGGTGTGTTTGTAAATGTTCAACGCCTGGTTCCTTGGTGGGGGGAAAGCTACTGACTTGTAGTGTTTGCCGATTTCTGTGGTGTAAATACACTCCCAGTGGATGACATCAAAGGCTTCAAAGTGATACCGTGAGTGTGGAGTTGGAGAGAGATTCCCAACAGGACATTATTATACAGGGTGGGGCAAAAGTAGGTTTACGGTGGTGAGTATGCAAAACACAGTTTATTCTTATATTGTTATTCATTAATTATTGTATTATCTTCCATATAAACCTGCTTTTGCCCCATCCTAGAGTATTGCCACCAGACAGCGTTTATTTATGCTAGTTATAAATAAAACTCAAGAGCAGATATTAATGTAGCAAAGTAATGGACATGCTTTGTTAACTTTGTTTTTATTATAATACATGTAAAAGTATAAGTTTATATAATCTTCACTTATGACTATACTTAAAACTGGCTCACAAAATGCCTGAAAATTGAACAACTGGCACTTCCAAGCTGGTACTGCAGGCCCCAGAACACCACTCTGTGCTCTCAAGCAACCCGGGCTGGCTGGGGCTTTGTTGGGCTTGAATCACAGCCCTCCTTCCATCCAATCTTGCTCTCCTTCTCTTCCCGTAGGCATTGACCCCTCATAACTTCCTGCTATGTGGTAAACCAGATGGTCTAATTGTTTGTGTCCCCCCAGTTCAGGTGTTGAAACCCAACCCCCAATGTGGTGGTAGGTATCAGGAGCTGGGGCCTTCAGGAGATGATTAGGTCCTGAGGGTAGAGCCCTCACAAATGGGATTACGCCCAAGAGAGCCCTTACCCTTCCTGACCTGGGGGTAGGAAGGACAGGACAGTTGTGTAAGGACAGTTGTGTAAATGAAAGGACAGTTGTGTAAGAAGCCGGTATGTAGGGTAGTACAGGAGGGAGGAGGTTGGCATGTGGGTGAGGGGAGCCTTCTGGCTGCCGGGCTGTGCTGACACCTGTGAGGGGAGATGGAAGGGGAGGAAGGTGGGGTAGGAAGAGCCTCAGACTGCAGGCCAGTGCTAAGAGAGCCTCGGCAGGGTGAGGGGGGAGTTCTGGAACAAATGCTGCCCATCAGAGGGGTCAGGCAGAAATGGCCCAACTCTGGTACTCCAACCATGCTTAGCCACGGGCTGGGAACAGCTGAGGGGGGCATGTGACCTTGGTGTGAGCACCATGGTAGATCCAAAGGTATGACAGCTGGAGACCGTCATTTCTGTTTTCAAGAGTTGAGTGCTATGCCTCAGGGGCTGCCACAGAGACATGTGTCTCTGCATATTAAACAGAAGTGTTGGGCCATCTTTGCACCGTTTGCTTTGTAAATGTCCTACTGCTTTTCACCCAGAATTAAGGAAAGTGTAGAGGGATCAAGAAGAAGGTTGGTGGTGAGAATTAAAAGGTGCTGTGAGGATGGAGGCATAGGTGGATATGCCGGGCCTTCTCACACAACCAAGTTTAGAGACAACTAAATATTAGCAATAGAAAACACATTCAGAACACGGAAAAATTGAACTTTTCGGAAGTCTGTTAACAACAAATTCTTCAGCCTGACTGGTAAGGGGCGAAACCAGCGGCTGGTGAAGCGGGGTTGCACATGTCTTGGTCAGCTGGACTCAGGCGCGGAATCCAGACTTGCGGAATCCAGGGGCAGGGTTGGACCTAGTGAGCAACCAAGCGAGCCACCAGGCCAGCGACCGCGGGGGAGACAGCGGGGGAGTGGTGCTGCGTGTTGACTGTGGTTGCACATTTGTGCGTGGGCGGACAGGCGAGGGAGTGGGCGGTTGGACCAGGGCCCGGTGGGTCCCCGGCAAGTGGCAGTGGAGGGCGCCGCCATTTCCCTGCTCTGACCCCACCTCCACGTACAGCGTCATAACCCAGCGACTCTATGTGGCCCAGCCCAGGTGAATCACCTAAGACGGCTAATCCTCACCCAGCTGTGAGAAACAGCAGAGGGGGTCGCCATTCCCCCCCCCCCCCCCCGCTCTGACCACGCCCCCACATACAGCGTCACAACCCAGCGACCTGGGAGTCCAAGCCTCCACTCCTCACACTTAAAGGGCCAGAACAGACCAAAAATGGCTCAAGAAGATCTCAAAGCCCCAGAGCCTATAAATCTAAGCGATGAAGAAATAGCAAAACTCTCAGATGCACAGTTTAAAACACTGGTCATCAGGATCCTCACAGAACTGGTTGATTATAGCCACAAATTAGACAAATATATGAAGGCGAAACTAATTGAAATGAATGGAATTGCACAGGACACCAATAGCAATGAAAAGGAAACTGGGACTCAAATCAATGGAGTGGACCAGAAGAAAGCAAATAATGGCCAAACAGAAAAGAGTCAAGAAGCAAGAATTCAAAGAAATGAGGAGAGTCTTAGGAACCTCCAGGACATCTTTAAATGCTCCAACATCCGAATTATAGGGGTACCAGAAGGGGGAAAGGCACAGCCAGTGGAAAACTTATTTGAACAAATAATAAAGGAGAATTTCCCCAATCTGGCAAAGGAAATAGACTTCCAGGAAATCCAGGAAGCTCAGAGAGTCCCGAAGAAGTTGGACCCAAGAAGGAACACACCAAGGCACATCATCATTACATTAGCCAAGATTAAAATGAAGGAGAGAATCCTAGAAGCAGCAAGAGCTAAGGGGACAGTCACCTACAAAGGAGTCCCCATCAGACTGTCAGCAGATTTCTCAGAAGAGACCTTACAGGCAAGAAGGGGCTGGAAAGAGGTATTCCAAGTCATGAAATCCAAAGACCTACATCCAACATTGCTCTACCCAGCAAAACTTTCATTTAGAATGGAAGGACAGATAAAGTGCTTCTCAGATAAGATCAAATTCAAGGAGTTCATCATCACCAAGCCCTTATTATATGAAATGTTAAAGGGACTTATCGAAGAAAAAGAAGTTAAAGAGACAGGAACAGTGAAAGGACAACAAACTCACAGTTATTAAGAACTACACCTAAAACAAAGGCAAACTAAAAGGACAGCTAGATCAGGAGTGGAAACATAGAAATGAAGATCTCAAGGAGGGTTAGCAACAGGGGAGTGGGAGGAGGAGAAGGGGGGAGAAGGTACAGAAAATAAGTAGCATAGACAGTAGGTAGAAAATAGATGGGGGGCAAGAATAGTATGGGAAATATAGAATCTAAAGGAATTGAGACACATGGTCATAAACTAAAGAGGGGATAACGGTGGGGATGGGGGGGTAGGGTGGAGGGGAATGAAGGGGGGAATAGAACAACTGCAACAGCTTAATCAATAAAAAAAATTAAAAAAAAAAGGTGCTGTGAGGAACAGGAGGGAGTACTCAGCAACATCGTGCAAAGAAAGGGGTGCTTCTGGAGAACGTGGGGAGTTTAGTGTGTATTGCCTGGGGTTGGGACATACATGAGAACCTTCAAGGAGAGAAGCTGGACAGAGCTGCTGTGACCAGAAAACAAAGAGGGTGTACTGCTGTGACAGTGACCTGCATGGTCAGGGTGAAAGGTAGCAGGGTCTGCCTGCCAGGGCACGGGGACTCTGCAGAGGGTCTCTGTGAGGTGGGCCACCAGAGAAGAAGCTGACCTCCAAGTAAGGACCAGTGCCTGGCACAGGGACGTTTCCCACACTGCCACCCTGACTGCACAGAGCTAGCTGGGAGAATATAGAACAAGTCAGAAAAAGCAGACATTTTTACTCCCTGTGCAGGCTGAGCTCGGGTCAGGCTGGGTGGGAGCTGGGTAGGGGAGACTTAATCCGAATGGGACTGACATTTTGATTGGGATTGGACTGGACTTTTTAATACCAGAGAATCAGACTGTTGATTAACACCCAAAAGTGACAGGAAAAGCTATGAAATCTGCCCTAGATTTCTCCAGTGGAGAGGGAGATCTGATAGAATAATTTTAAAAGACAGTAGTTGGGGAAAAAAAGGTGCTGTTTCATGACTTCCCTTCACCAAGTACTCCAGCTTGTTAAAAAACATAAACTCGTATAAAATATTGCTTAACACGGTAGTTTGGAA